CTTAGGAGCAGAATCAGCACCTACCTTGCCTGTAAATGTCTATTCCTCTTTAAAGAAAAGAAACATACCTAGCTATTTTTGCCAGATGGTAAATGTCATAGTAGATGTTCACTATATATTAATGGATAAATAAATGATAGACATATGAAAACGGAAATATCCTCTGCATGTAAAATGTTCCCCTTTACATAATGTACAATAGTGTTTTACATATTATACTATTTGACTACAGGCAAATGGAAAGTGTCAAAGAATCAGGAAAAGTAACTGGGAGTAGGCAGATAGAAGGGCTCTGCTGTAGCGGTTTTAACAGATCAGATTCATATTGCAAAGATCTTTTGTCTCCATCCTAGAAAAAAATGTGATGCATTGAATTAGTTATTTACTAAGAATCTAATTAATTTCAAGGCAATCCTTCATTTCAAACTGTTGCACAGGGCAGATGAATTAAAATCTTTTAAGCCCTTTATATACATTAACTCACTTAATCCTTACTATTCGTGAGGCAGGTACTATAATCATGATTTTATATGTGGGGAAAATGAGACACAAATTAATTAATTTTGTCAAGACCTCACAGATGTGAAATGTCAAAACGGAAATTTAAACCAAGTGAGTCTGGCTGCAGAGTCTATTTCTTAACCAGTATACTATGCTGTCTCATGAGATGGCACTAGAGCAGAGACCTAAATAATGACAGAAGAGACCCGTGAGGTTTCTGGGGAAAATGCTTTAGGAAGAAGCATATGAAAGTATGTATGTCTCTGTTTCAAAGACCAGCAAGGCCAGTGTGGTATAAAGTGGGAATGATTTGAGGGGAAGAGTGGTAGTGATGAGACGGAGTGGCTTGTGGGCCCCGGGAAAGATTTTGATTCTCATTTTTAGAAAACTGGAAAGCCATAGGAGGTTGTTAAGCAGAGTTGTGATGTACTGTGATTTAAAAGATTATTGTAGGGATGTGCGAAGATGAGGATGGAAGCAGAGACTCTAAATATTTAATATAAAGTAATATTTAAATTCAATACATAAGTCAAAATTATACACACACATATTAGAGTCTTATTTTATAAAAATAAACTATATAGTTCCTAAATCTGCTTAGCCAGTTATTTATACTTAAGCAAAAATAGGTGTTAGGCCATATTTAGGCCAGGAGCAGAAATCTTATCTTAAAAGCCATCTTGTCTTGCTTTGTACTTTGTACCTGCAGAGTTATGTTTGTCTCCTAGGGGCTTATGACCAGCGGACCTGGATTGCATCAGCCTGGGGGCGAGGATGTGGAACTGGAGGGTTTGGTCATGCCCCAAAACTCTTTCTTGAGAGAGACAATGCAATGGAAAAGCCCCTGAAGCATTGAAGGGGGAACAGCCCTTCAATACCCCTCTTNGGGGAGGTAGGGAGCAGGCCAGAGGGAGGGGCGACGGGGAATGGGCGGGACCTGTAGAACCAGCTCTTTTTTCCAGTAGCTGTGACCCCTGCCTCCAGAATGACACACTCGTCTTTAAAAGGCTCCCTGCTCAGGGGAGAGAACTTTATGAGCCTAAATTCACTGACGTAAAGAAATTTTTTTTTTTGTAACCTGGGTGAATAACTGGGCTACTAAACATTGAATAAAACCAGATATAGAGATAAGAAAAATAGTCTTTTAAGGCTTTCAAGCTGTGTGCACACACATTTATTTACATTAAATTTCATCTAGTAAGGATGATACAGGTGACGTTCTGAAACCCATCATAGCAAACTATTTCTTCACCAGCCAAAGCTAATTCTCAAGAAATTAAACACACACATACACACACACACACACACACACACACACACACACGCTGAAGAAAGAAAAACACTCGAAGTTTCTTCCAATGAGAAATTTTACCCCAAGCAGGGACAGCTGTCAACACTTTAAAACTCAAATGCTCAGCCTTCAGTACTTGGTTGCTTTCTGAACTGTTGGCAGCTTCTCCTTATTGTCTAGATGATGTGAATGATAAAACAGAGCAATTAATTGCACACGAGAAAGGTCATACAGCAAATATCTTTCTATATCTCCCTGAAAAGGAGCCGGCAAAGACAAATGATTCTCTCCCACAGGTCAAGCCTCCTGGTTTGGCACTTGTCTTAATGGAAACTTTAATTCTTGGAAATTTCATGTGTTTTCCAAGAGTCAGGGTAGAAAGTATATGAAGCATAAACAATGTGTTCATTTAATTATCAAAAGACCTAAAATTAGTCTTGAATGAAAGCAAATGAAAAATGATTTTTTTCCCTTCGTAGATAGATCTGCTTAACCCCTTCAAGCCAGGGATGCTAGCCTGATAGTGGTAGCTCTCCTATTTACTGTCATTAATTTTTACAGTAAATTATGTGGCAGTTTTACTACAACTGTGTAGGAATCAATTTGTATAGTTAATCCCCTCATTGTTCTATTTTCCAATTGAATTTTGTACAATGTATATTTTGGTTCAGGTAACGTTTATTGAACACCTATTTTGTGAAGGTTTATTTTAGGTTTCTATATATCATAATTTCTGTTCTTGAGAGGCAGACAATTGTAGTAAGAGAGACAAGATTTTGACAATAAACCCAAATACAAGCATGGGTGTGATTACAAGGAAAAAGGACACACAACTAAAGTGCCAGAGAATATAAATGAGATATACTGAGACTAGGAGACTAAGAAAAGCTTCATTAATTATTCTGCACCTGATCTCATCTTTGAAGGACCAGATGTATTTAGATACATTTGGGGTATGTAGAAAAGCAGAGAAAAGACGGTTCACAGAAAGGGAACATCATGAAAAAAATTATGCAGTAGTGACAAGAGTGAGCCATGTTTTCGTAACTAACTTAATCAGCATTGATGAAGCAAGGTCTGCAAGACTGGACACTTGAGTCCAGTCCTCCATAGGCAGCTTGTTTCCACCACTCTCAACATATAATGGGTTTTCACATACTTGTCCCTCCTCCTCCACTCACACAACCCTTGAAACTGAGGGCTGCTGATGGGCAGGGCTGTAATTTGCTTATCTTTGTATCCCACGTCTCTATACAGCCCAAATTACAGAGGTGCTCAAAAAAATCCTTTTGAATCAATGAATGGAAAATATTAGGTTGGAAAGCATGTTGGGACCGTGAAAAAAATATAATGCAGACAACCTTAAATGCCAAAAAAGTAGTCCTTTAGTAAGTAGTGGTAAGCCATAGGAAGATCTTGATTAGAGAAAACACAAATGTCTGCTTTAGGAAGATTGATCAGGAAGCAGAGGCTATGATGCTGTTGCTAAGTAGAGCCCCTCCCTTCAGGCTCCACAATTCTGTGATTGGCAGGCAGAAGGAGACACTAGAAACTATTGTATCAATTAGAGAAGGAATGAGGCCTGGGGCTAATAAGCAATGTCAGTGACAAATATATACAATAGCAATGTTACAAGAGTCAATATTGGTGCTTGTGATGTTTATTGTGGTGATAGAAATAGTAGGAAAATTGAAAGGAGAAGAGATGAACTGCTGAGGAGAATTATGAGATTTGCAACAAATAAATCCATATCTGAATCCTACAAAAATTCTGTTATTTTGCTATAATGCATAATTTGGACTCAATATTTTTTTTTCTAATGAAGTATATTCTTCCAAGTATGTGACTTTTAAGTAGTTTTGACTTGTTTTAAAATAACAAGCTATACCATACCTTTTATTAGTCAATAATTTATGTTGATTAATTCAAAATAAGGGGCACTAATAATATACATAATAAAGGTCAAATTTTAAGATGTTAATAAGAAAACTTTTGACAATAGAATGCCTACAAATAGCCATTTAGAAAAAAACAGTATGAAAGTGTACTATAAAGATTATAAATTTTCTTTTTCTTTTCTCTTTCCATCCCCTTCCCCACATTTTTTTTTAAACTAACCCTTTATAGCTTTTTCCTTTAACTAGTTTTTCTGCACCAGGTGNTTCCCTTGAAGACACAGGAGCTAAGAATGATTAAATCCAACTTTGATAGAAAATCACACTTTAGCCATTGAGATGAGGCTAAATCTATATATGCCAGACCTGACTTCAGATATCCCTGGGAAGGAAATGCAGCTTTAAGATGGGCAATGGGAAAGTCAAAGGAAAAAAAGGTTACAGGATTTCCATGACACATCAGTCTCAGTTAGGAAAGCCAAGAGAATATTTTAAAATTTGGAATGAAATGAAATAAAAATGAAACAATGTAGTTCTCTTGGAGCAACAAATCTCAGAGAGGGACCCAAGAGAAAGATCTCTGAGGTGTTATCACTGTATGATATCTGTTTCACATGCCTCTAAAACTGTTTTTTGTTGTTGTTGTTGCAATTTAACAAGGGATAATTTTGTGAAAGAGGAATCACAAAACCACAGTGAATACAAAGGAAATATTTTAATAAAATATTCGACTCAGTATTTTGCCTGTGGGGGCTTTTAAGAAGTGAGAAGTTGAAGGAAATGGATGTCATTGATATTCAGAATCCAGCTCTAAAATGAGACAGGAATATCCTTAGCTTTTCTCCGAAGCTCTTTGCCCAGTTCTGCCGACAGGCTGCCATGAGGAGGACCAGGGAACCTCTGGAAGTCATTGTGAAAGAGCAAATGAATGACCAGAATCCACTTAGAAGCAGACAGCATGAAGCATATTTTGCCTCAGGCTTTTTACCAGGTGCAGTATCATGGAAAAGGAAAAGGCAACATACTGGCTGATATAGGAAAGATGTGAACAACACAATGTTGGTTCTCCCCTATCCCCACCCGCATATGATTTGTATTTCCAGAGTGAACAGTAGAAACAGAGGGATCTGTGGTTTCATCCACTAAGGATTTCAAACAGAATCATTCCTTGGCCAACTTTTGTATTCAAGGTCTATTACTCTTAATGTAACTCTTGTGAGAGAAATGAGAGCATACTATTTCCTGAACATAACTTGAACATATCCCTGCAAATATTGCATGTATGAAAAATTGCGAGCCATGAATCCTCCAGCTTGTGTGTTACTGTTTTATTGATACAGAAAGTGCTGTTGTTTGAATATGAATATGATTTAGTACATTAAGGTGTAGAAGGGACAAATGCTTATGTTCCAGCTCTGGTACAGCCCAAATGCGCCTCGCATAAAGCATCAACCCTTAACAGAAGACTTCCTTGGGCTGTCTTGCTGTCACGACTCTGACGTATTTTGACTTCCTTCTGGAGTCATAAATTGCACCTTTGGCACAATGAGGGATGAATTGTTCCTTCGGATAGAGTTGTTCCTCCGCATGGAATTATTTCTTCTCATGGAATTGCGCTTCCTCAGGGAATTTTGATGGGACAGTTCACTCTTCTGGAGGGTCTGAATAAGGATAGAAGGCTTCTCGTCCAGCTCTCGGGCACTGCACCTCGGAGCAGCCACTTTAACAGTGTTTCCAAACTTGGAGTAATCTACAGAATACACTCCTTCCTCCTCAGTTACAATGGACACAAAACGATGGCCCCATTGGATCTCCTCGGCGATGTAGGATGTTCTTGCTTGTGTGGTAATGCCAGTAGTTTCGACTACTCCTTCCAGAATCACTATGACCTCCAGGTCCTGGTTGGCGAGGTCAGGTGCTGAGATATCATACAAGGGGCTGCGCTTGTCAATCACATGGCAGATGATCAAAGGGGCCACCAGGAAAATGTTGTTACTCTCAATTGGGTTATCAACAGGAATGTCCAGCTGGTGAATAGGCACCACCTCCCCTTCGGGTGTAGTTGTTTTCTTGACCACCTGGATGCGCACTGAGGCACTGATGATCATGCTTTTCCTCAGGTCCCCTACTCGGAACATGAAGCACAGCTTGCCATTTCGGACGGCAATCACCGCATGGCGGCTGAAAATCAAAGTCTCTGCCCTTCTGTGAGCCTGAGCTGTTTTCATGAAAATGCAGCCCAACATGACTGCATTGATGATCAAACCCACAATGTTCTGGAGAATTAAAACTGTGATGGCCAGAGGGCATTCCTCTGTCATCATTCTCCCTCCAAATCCAATTGTCACTTGAACCTCAATGGAGAAGAGAAAAGCAGAGGTGAAAGACCTGTAAGGAATAATATCAGAAAACAATACCATCAGGTCAAATTGTGAATAATGAAATAGCATGCCAAGTTCAATGACTTTTTCAATGCCAAAAACATTATTTTTCTATGATAAAATGTCCAAACTGAATTTGTAATTTTCTTTCTCTAAAGTCTATTACATGCCTTTGGAAAGACTAGCCAATTTAACTTGTCACATGCCTAATTCTCTCTCTTCTACATGCATCTACCTCCAGACTTCTGGAATACAATAATATTAATGTTTTCTAGGTCATGAAATGATGGGCCTGATTGTGTGAAAGNAATGAAAAGTTAGAATGGGACTTGTCCCATACACATGCCTCCCAGACACACACGCACACACACACACACACACACACACACACACACACACACACACACACACACACACACACACACACACACCTCTGTTCCTCATCCTGAATCTTTTGAATGATGAAGAAACCCAACATAAATCATAGTTTCTCTTCTTTGATCCCTTGTTGTTCCTTGCTTTCTCCTCAAAAAATAAGTTTCTCAACTTCATAGACTTCCTCTCCCACAGTGTACTGTGTATCTGTCTCTTTATACTCTTCTTAATCTAACCCCAGTCCAAGCCCTTGTAGCCTGTTGCTTAGGCTACTACAATTATCTCCAATCTAATCTTCATGCCTCTCCTTTCTCTAAATCATCCAATATGGTGTTAATGAAATGGTTTTCATAAAGTGAAACCATGATCATGTCCTTGGCTTAAAAAGCTCAAAGACTTTCTTTTTCCTTCTAATTTAAATTCATACTCCTCACCCCAACACTCAAAGCCTTCTGTAATATGACCGTAATCTACTTTCTAACTTTGTCTCTCTCCTCATTTATTTCTTCCATAACACTTCATTTTTATCTCTTTTTGCTGTTCTCCAGCAAGCCCCTTTCTTTTCCACTTTGTTCATAGCAACCAGAATAAGCTTTAAAAAAACCATATGTATAAATTAGATGGTGACAACCCCTGCTTAAGCCCTTTAAATGTCTCCCAGTTGCCTCTAGAGTAAAAGCGGAGGTCTTTTGTGCTCTGACTTTCAAAAGCTCTTCCGTTCAGGCACATGAACTTTGTGCTCTGCCTTCTCAAGTCCTGTCTGAGGCTTTGGCTCTTCTCATTGCCTTTCTCCTGGCAACTTCTTGTCCTGCAGGCCTCAACTGAAATTGCACATTTTCAGAGAGCCTTTCCTACATCATCTCAATAAAGGATTGCCCACTCCTCATTCAATCACATCACCCTGTTTATTTCCTCCATCATTTTATATCTTTACTTGAGATTATCTTGTGGTTAAAAACATTTTTTGGGGGGGGTTACTTTTTTGTTACTTGTCCTCCTTCACATTATAAACTCCATGAGGCCAGGGACCTTGTCTATCTTGATCACAGCTGTGTTCTTAACATTTAATAAAGTGTCATTCCATGCTTAATAAATATATGCTGAGTGAACTAATGAATCAATGGCATTTATTCTGCATTGGTTATCTTGCTTTCCATTGTCTCTGCCTGATGAAATTGTGCCATGATTCAAGACCCATCTAAAAGCACTCCCATTTTTTGGTCTTGATTTCTGAATGTTATTCCCATCCTCAAATTTTTACATAATCTTTTTGCACACCTCTTTGGCCCTTGCCAGGTTCTGCCTTGTTATTTTTCATAATTTCTTCATTAACTACAATTTTCTTTAGCAATGACTTCTTACGTTCATCTTTAAATCTAATTACTGTGCCCAAACAACTGTAGGTATATATAGGTTGATATACTGAATTAAAAAGCAAGAAATACCCCAAGAAATAATGCAAAGGTTTCACAGATGATTTCATGCTTTTGTTGGTTTCAGGGCTTAAGGGATGTCTCTGTTNGGTTATCATGAAATGGGAATGACAATATAACTTCGTACTTATCTGTTCCAGTGAGTTCAGAGAACATTTCTTTTTGAGATATGTATCTATTTATGTGCATAAAAAGTTTCACTCTCCTTTAAATTATTCACCCCATTTTCTGAAGGCCATCCCTCAGAGCCATTCATGAAAAAGACCCTGAACCAGCTTGCATGCTCAATTCTTCAAACTTATGCCTGCTCACAGGTGTGAATCAGCAAGTCAGGAAGGGACATTAATAGCAACTGCTACCTTTGAATACACATCTAGGTGAACAACACAAAGCCCCTGCTCCAAGGCATTCTTGGGGAGGAAGCTGTTAGCAAACAAGTAGACAGCTAATATATAATTATTAATGGTGTCCAGATTTATAAAGAGAGTAAAGCAGGATAAAATTGAAAGTAACTGAGGCCAAGGATTAGCAATTCGACACAGAATTTAGAAAAGGCCTCTCTCTTTAAGAAGGTGGACTTTGAAAACAGAATCAGCGAAGTGATCAACTGAGGAAAGAGTGCTTCAGGCAGGTCAAAAGCAAGTATAAAAGGTTTGAGGCAGGAAATAGCTTGGTGTGTTTGAAGAACCACCAATCAATAAAAGATCAATATATCTGATGGAGAAGAGGGAAAAGCAGGAGACAAGATAGGGAAAGTGGGAAATGTATTCACTGATCTGTCCATCTCTCCATTTACCCAGTGAATGAAGATTGTGAGTCTGTATGTATTGTTAAAAACATTGACCTAATGCTTGAGGCAGCTATATGTTAGGATGTTTTCCTCATTTTGCACATGAGTCAATTAGAGTATAGCTAAATGACTTATCTAAACTCAAATACCATGTAGGTGGAAAGTTATGACAAACTCAAAACATCAGGCCCCACTGGAAAATATCTCAAAGGAATTATTGTCCATCTATGATTCAGCTACATGAGAAAAACCTGGTAACATTATTTTATGTCCTTCCAGACTTTTCCTGAACAAGGATACAATAAAATATAAAATCTTTGGCCCCCAAATTAAATATATATTTAATTATAAGGTATAAACACTTCTAATAAAATAAAGCACATGTATAGTGCCAGGTGGGTACTAGGCTAAACGGTAGGATCACTTTGTAAATTACGTAAATATCTAACCACTATGCTGTACGCCTAAAACTAATACAAAATAATAGTGAATGTCAACTGTAATTGAAAAAAAAAGTTCTCCTGGAGATTCTTTTCCTCACTTAGGCATAAGAACCTCATAGAATTGTTATGAGGACAAGATGACACAAACCATATAAAGTGCTTAGGTTAGGGACTGGTCTGTGATAAGTACTTAGAAATGTCAGTTCTTATTTACGCATTGGAGCTGGTTTTGGCTTGGTGATGGTCAAAAAGATCTTAGAGCTAAATGTGCAGGTAGGAAGTGGGGAAGATATAGATTCACAGATGCCTTTATTATTTGACTATCTTTCCTAATCTATGATTAAAAAGACATAATATGATTTTATAGACATGAGTATTATTCTTGAAATCTCACCAACCTTCAGAGTGCTAACAAATACTTGTACTGGCATCTTCTCAACTCTTGATTTAATCAAGACGCTGGAGACTGAAAGGGAGCCAGCCAAGATACCGGTAATAAAATAAGGACTCAGGAAATCAACCTGTCTGTTTTACTGTAATAGTGTCTCCAAAAGAAAAGTGGCTCTTTCAATCAAGTAGAGAGTACCTGGGGTAATTATTTGCTACTGGTAGGGTACAAAATGCTATACTAAATAAAGCTGGTAGAGTCTTTTCCAAAAGAAGGTGAGGAATAATGGCTGTCGCTGTTCATTTTTTCCAGGCCTTGAAATTATACCTTGATATTCTTGTGCCAAAGAAAGGCAAGTTCTCATGAGCCTAGGATCTGTCTTGCAGTAGGAATTCTTCACAGGTATTTCTGAAGCTCTCAGGGAAAGCAATTCCCAGCAACACCCTAAGCTTTCAGGGCTCTGTTTTGAAAAATCAGTGACTCATGCGGTGCTTGGAAAGAGAAACCTGACATTTTCCAGAACTCTCTGTAGGGTGACTCCTTATTGCCACCTTTCAAAAAATGCCAGCTGCAGAAGGGATTATAGAGGTTGGAAGTTTTAAAGTGATATTTAGACTCACTGGCCACATGATCATTTGCCAGGATTTTTTTTGGGGGGGGAGGGGTAGTGGGGGAGGGTGTTAAATGACCTGAATTTTCCTTTAGGTAAAAATTATCTGTGCCAGAAAAGCTTTCACCAGGTCATTTTTCTAAACAAGTTCATACTAGAATTAAATATTTGATATTTGTTGCTAATTTAAAATGTCAAATTACCTCATTTATTGTTAGAATAAATGGGGTAATAAAATGATCTCCTCTCTGTAAACCTACAGAATTTTAGTATGCATTTGAGTCAATCCTTTAAAAAAAAAAATCGAGGTATCATGGAAGATACATGAAATATATTATAACTTTTTGTTCAAGTTCAGAGTATTAGAAGTAGAAAGGTGCGGGATTAATTACCAGTTCTGCCATTTACTTGATTGGTTGCTTTGAACAACATCCTTAATCACTCTGAGCCTCAATTTCCTCTTCTGTAAAATGGAGACACTAACATCTACCTCTTAGAGTTGTATTGATTAAATAAGGTGAGTATGTAAAGGATTTAGCATACCCCAATGACACTTAAAAGCTAATATTTTAAGAAATAATTAGTGTTTCCACAACTTCCTTAAGTAGTATTTAATTTATTATTATTTTAATTTTTTCATGACCCACATTTGTTAGTATTTTCATATTAATAGTTCATAATAATGGTGATAACACGCATGTTTTCTTCTTAGTGACTTTGAGAAAATGCTTCCAGAATATATAATTTACATAGTTATCATTTTTAAAGTAGTGTGTGTTTTCTACTTTTTTGTGTTTTTAAATCAATGATAGATGGTGAATTACATAAAATGCCTTTTTAGCATATACCAAAGTGATCTTTTTTTTCCTATTCCTTGGCCAATTTGATATGGTGAATTAAATCATAAGATTTGAAAAATGTTAAACTATTTTTACATTCCTGAGATGAACTGCATTTGGTCATGGTAAATTGTTATTTTAATACAATACTGGATTGTTTTTTCTCATATTTATTT